CTTTTGACCGTCCGTTTTATTTAAAAAAATTATAAAAAAAAGTTAAAAAAATAAGTCACGTATAAAATATTAATCATGTTTTATCATCTAACAACAATGAAAATACGAATTATAAAAAATTTTCATATAAGACATAAAGTTAAAGTTGGACACGAAAATCCAGGGTTTATCTTTTCTTTTTTTAGACGAACGGAGTATTCCACAGACGCGTTAACCAAACAAACCGATCGATCGCATGATTGCTAGCTGATCAGAATCAACTGCGTACGTCGTCGTCGATCTCAGCTCGATGGAAACGCAATCTCCATCGGTTTTGCAATCTCTCACCATCGCCATGTCTTGTCAGTCGAGGCTCAGATCACACGCGTCTCCCGTCTCGGCCAAGGTAGCTCATCAGCTTAGCTGGACGGGCCGGTCACTTCGCTTTCGGCCGCCTGGACACGACGACGACGACGGCGACGACGTACGGCACGGCATCATCGATCTGGCACCACATCGATCGGTCGCCGGCCTCGCCGGCCGGCCGGCCGGCCGGGCTCCATTTCAAAGAGATTGCGATATCGACTGGACTGAAAGCAACGAGAGCTGTGAGAACACAACACAGAACGACGTAGCTAGTCTAGCTCGTTATGATGATCCAGGTGACCCGGTGAGAGTGAGAGAGCGCCAGATGATAGCTAGCTTTCTTGCCGCCATGATTAAACTCGATCGACGTAAGCTAACAGCAACACTTAAGCCAAGCCTCCACAAAACGATGCTTGCTTCTGAAATAACCCAATTAATTGAACAAGGTTTGTTGCATTCAGGCGTTGTTGTCTTCTTTTTTTGTTTGTTTTTTAGAACTCGTTGTTGTCTTGACATGGAAAGTTGGAGACGGAAGCCAAAAACGCTTCTCCAGTGAGACGTCCACTGTAGTGGGTGCCATTGAATTCCACGCATGCATCCACCAATAATACCGAAACCGGCCAACTCGAGACCGGACCAACCAACCTTGTATTAGCTTGCAGCATGGAGCTAGTCACGGAGTCAATAGGAAAACAAAAACGCTTTACCAGTTGATGTAAAACGCCAACTCGGTTAAGTTTGGTGGCAACGAGAAAATTATATAGCTGAAAATATAATCTCTATACCCACTACTAAACGGGCTGGCTGCTGGCAAGAGGGCGACTGCCAAGTGCTAACACAGTGCCCGCCCGGCTGTTCCAACCCAATCCAATACATGAGCAGAGACAGCTGCTCCGGACGCGTTGATCCAGTGCACGCATGATGCATTGCCATGGCACGCACTGCACGCTCTCCACCATCGATCGACTGCATCAAAAAGGATTAGATTCTGGAACGTAGTACGTACGTACGCAGTAATTAAGGCCCCACACGCCAACAACATCACTCTCTACTGCTCTCCCACTGCTAACCCAAAGCATTTCAGCAGACGATCGATTGTAATTAATGACCCACTATACAGTTTTAAGGACAAAAGTTTTGCCTTTCTACTTTTGATCGTCACAATTCACAAAATCGATTTTACAGTTCCGATCATCCCATTTGTGTCGGACTTTTCTCGGTTCCCACACGTGCACCGACTCAGTTTTCTCGCGGAGTTAATTCGTCCTCGGGAGATCAATCGCTCCTTCCTTTTCTACCGCGCGAGGCAACGGATTCATTTTTCTGACCGCGCGGCAACCACCTCATATTCGTTTGTCACAGTCACATGCAGCCAGCTTTAATTATGGGATGAGGCATGCAGGCCCGTTGGCTAGTTGATAAGAGCCTGGGCTTATAGAGTTATAAGCGTGTTTGTTTTTCTTATATAGTGTTTAAGTCAAAATATGACAATCAAAAGTAAACGGAGGGAGTATATATTTCTGCCTCCGTCCCATAATATATATAAGAAGTTTTAGAGTTGGACACGGTTATTAAGAAAGTAGGTAGAAATTAAATAGGAAGGGGTTGTGATTTGTTGAAAAGTGGAGGTAGGTGGAAAAAGTGAATGGTGGAGGATTATGATTGGTTGGGAAGATAATGTTGGTGAAGAAGTTGTTATAATTTAGGGCAAATCCTAAGTGCTAAAAGTTGTTATATTTTGAGATGAAGGGAGTAATAGGGAAGGACTATACAGATGTTTAGTCGCATACATGTAGTCTAGCAGTTTTTTTTTCTAATGAAACATAGTATCAACACAGACGCTCACAACGCACGAACATTCACCCATACGAACACATATATACTCATATCGTATTCATATGTACACATTCCCGGAGGATTGAACTGACATATATTGAAATTAATGAAGTAATTGTAGATGTCTCACTGTCAACGGGTATGACATCGCCTAGCATTAAGAAAGTAGTTAGCTGTAAATACGATGACATGTGCTAAGTCTAGGAATTAATTAGAACCCGAACGGACAGGTTCAAGTGTTCAACCGCAAGTAAAAACCCAACCAGTCGAGCTACTTGGCACTTCGTAAAATTGTATGTTACACAAGGCAACTAATTATAAAAACAATCTTATATATAGCATGTTTGGGGACCTTAAGATTATGAGAATTAGCTGGTCGGTAGCCAGCTTTTGAGATTGTGGAAAAATTATGATTTCCAATATCTTCTATTGGATTCTATAATTACAACTTCCTATAATCTAAAAAAGAAGTTAGACTGCTAATTACTAAGATAGTTTCTGATTCTGATACCTAAAACTCTTTGAAACAAGTCCCATGATAACCGCATGCACCGATATGTTGAAAAGAAAATGTACCAAGCTAAACTCGTAGAAATGGCTATACATTTTAGTAGGAGTACATCCGTGTTCTACCCTACTCACCCTCCACTTGATTCCGTTAATTAGTTTGCATATATCGATCACCTCTCCTGTCGCAAACGTATATGGTACAAACCTTGCGCGTTTTCTCGAGCAGAGCCACCGGTAGGGCGTACGTACGTACACTTAACGTGTCCGTATCCGTCCCTGTCCCCGTTCGCCACGTCTGACAGCGACACGCCTTCCTCCTCACGGTTGACCGGTTCGTCCCGCGACGCGACGATTTTTGACGGGACCAACCAGTCACTCACGCCGTGTGGGGTCCCCGGCTTGATTGCCTTCCTGGACGGATGCGCGAGACAGCGAGCTGGGACCACGCAATCGCGCCGCGCCGCGTGGCCCCCGCCCACCCCCAACACGTAGGCGGCGTGAGTGAGGCCCCGCTACTACTAGTATTTTTCTACTCGACTCGTGTCAAACGTCACACGTCGCTGGTAATTAACCACCAGCAGCAGCTTGTGATTAGCAGGTGACAGCCGGGCTAACCCCGATTTACAGCCCATTGCCATGCAATACAGCAATGGAGCCCCGTGGCGTGGACGACGAGCGGACGGAGGCGTGAAGAGAAAAAAAACCCTTGTGCGAAAGGGCCCGTAGCCTAATGGTTATGAGAGCCTTAGTAGCATCTAAAGTTCTAGATTCAACTCTCTATAGGAGCGAAATTTTTAGGATTTAACGGCATTGTGCTTTCAGTGGCAGGCGACGTACCCATCGACAGCGAGGCGTCGGTCCAGTCTTCGAAGATGCTCATAGAGATAGGGTTTGCGTGCGTGTGTTCATAGGAGTGAGTGCGCGTGCGTTGTGAGTCTCTGCGTTGTACGGTGTGTAATTCTTAAAAAAAAATAAAAAACCCTTGACGCCCACGTGGCGGCGCGGGGTTGGAGGCCACCGCGGTGTTTGGTGTTCGCTGACTCGCAGCATGGCCGTCGGTATGTCGGCCAGGTGGGGCCCCCACCCCTCCTCGCGCGGCTGCCCCCAGGTCGATGGATTTTCCGAGGCGCGACACGATGGGTGCCACGTGTACGGGGTGGCGATCACGTGGGCCCAGCCGTACATGTGGGTCCCACGCTCCCCTTCGTGATTTCTCTTCGTTTGATCGTCTCGTGTCGTCAGGAAATCTGGATCACGGTCCGATCCCGCCAGCGAGCCGTGGATCTGCACGATTTTAAAAACACAGTACAAAATAGGCGCCCATAACATTTACACACTAACCTCTGTAACCATACAGCCGCACACCGTATTTCTACTCATTATATTTATATGAGTATTCTTGGAAGACTGAACAGACATATTTTAAGATTGACAAAATCACTATAGGCTCCTCAGTGTTAATGGATACATTATCTACCACTTAAAAAAAATTAGCTTTAAATACAAGCATCCGTATTATCAAAATTAATTAAGATTTAAACCTGGTTAGGTTGGTTAAGCTGCGCTTACTTTGGGATATACACGATTTTGATACGGCGCCGGCGAGCGGATGATGCGTGTGCAAGGTTGGACTCGTGCTGGCTGAGTCACTGTGCGTGCGAAACCCATACGGCCATGACACAACTTTGGCACGGCCGACCAGCGAAAAAAGAAAAAAAAACGCGCATATGTGCGCGACTTCTGCGCGAACTAAACTCCACTTTGGATGTACATACATAGATGAAATAAAGGCGGCTTTTAATTTGCTTGTGACTGACATCAATGAATCTGGAGTCACGATCGAGCGTTAAAATCCCGGTAGAAAAGAAAAGTTACGGTGCATTTCACGTAGACGGCGCGGTGATTAGTTAATCATTGTTGTTCTATATATCTTTTCTTTATTTTTAAGTAGGATACGATCACACGATGCATGCATGTGGAGTAGTAGTACGTGCTATCGATAGATCGAGATCTGCGTATAGCAACAATCAGACATGCATGCGCGTGCATAATTCGATTGAATGATACAGTGATACACAATCTGCAATGACGTGAGAGATCTTCAATATTTCAAACAGGGACGGAGCTAGAACAAAATATATTAGGGTAACTTTTGCTTAATTTACTCTAATTTAAATTAAGTTTAAGCTAATACAGACGTCTAAGTTTGTATTTAGAGGATACACACATGGTGAAAATCGATGAGATATAGCTAAAAAGATTTCTTGACTAGGTTTCTGGGCACCCCTTTCATACTCTACCTCAGCGCCTGATTTCAAAGTTTGCTAATTAAGTCCATTGCACATAGATCGATATGTGTACACATTTTAGAAAAAAGGAATGCACATGAAATATCGATGTGTCTAGCTTAGGCAAAAGGAGCCTGCTAATACAGCAAAATTAAAGACTCTTGTTTGCTTCATTCCTATCCAGTTTCATCCAACCCCATCAATCGAGCAGCAAAAGGGAACAAAGCTTCCAGCCATTATCCGGGAAGCTGTCCTCTCATCGTCCTCCACGTGTCCACCCATACACGTGTCGCCATCCCAAGCCCTCTGCCTCCTTCCCGCCAACACGTGTACCCGTCGCGCTATATATACCCCTCACTCGCTGCGATTTTACAGCCCACCTCGAAACTTCTCTTTACCATTTTATGCTCTCTCTCTTCCCCTCTCTCCCCGATGTCGTCGCCGCCGCCGCCGCCGCCGAGCAAGCCGAAGCGCCGGCGGCTACTGTCTCTTCCGGCGGTCTACCCGTGCGAGGACATCGCGCCGGCGCCGCTGCTCGCCTCGCTGCTCTCCCTCGCGGCGGATGTCGCCAGCCGTCGGGCGGCCGACGTCGACGCCTTCCCCGTTCTCCGCTGCGGCGTGCGCAAGGCCGTGCGGCTCGCCGGGATCCTCCTCGCGTTCCTCGAGGAGGTTCAGGATGCGGCGGCGGCGGCGGCGTTGCCGTCGTCTGCGGTGCTTGGGCTGACGGAGCTGCACGTGGCGATGCAGAAGCTGCGGTTCCTGCTCGCGGACTGCGCGCGGCGTGGCGCGCGGCTGTGGGTGCTCGTGAACGCCGGGATGGTGGCGTCGGAGCTCAGGTTGGTGCTCGGGTCGGTCGCGGCGGCCATGGACGCGCTTCCGAGGAGCGTCGCGGAGGCGTCGGTGGAGGCCGGGGAGCTCGCGCGGGTGGTGTCGGAGCAGGCGTGGCGCGCGGCGGTGCGGCCCGACGGCGCCGACGAGCGCGCGGCGCGGAGCGTGCGGTCGATCCTGGATCAGTTCAAGGACGGCGTCGCGCCGGACGCCGACGACGTGAGGCGGGTGCTCCGCCGGGTCAGGGTCGGGAGCTGGTCGGATTGCTCCGAGGAGATCGCGTTCCTGGAGAGCGAGATTTGCGCGCGGCTGGACGCCGGCGACGAGAACAGCAATGACGTTCTCGTCATGAACAGCTTAATGACGTTCCTGGTGTACTGCCGCGTCGTGCTGTTCGACCACATTGACGCGAGCAAGTCGCAACCGGCGGCGGCGGCAGCGCCGGCGCCGGCGAGGTGCCCGGAATGGATCAGACCGGAAGCGCTGCAGTGCCCGATCACTCTTGACCTCATGACCGATCCGGTGACCGTGTCCACCGGCCAGACATACGACCGGGCGTCGATCACCCGGTGGATGAAGGCCGGTTGCCGCACGTGCCCGGTCACCGGCGAGAGGCTGAGCACCGCCGACCTCGTCCCCAACACCGTGCTCCGCGGGATCATCGAGCGGATGCTTCTCATCAATGGCGTCACCCTCCCGGAGCTGAGCGCCGCCGGCGGCGGTGGCCACCGCCACGGCGCCGTCGCGAACACGGCCGTGCCGTTCGGCCCGGCCGCCGCGGGCGCCGCGCGCCTCGCCGTCGCGCACATCGTGGCGCAGCTCTCGAGGGGGTCGACGGAGGAGCGGAGGAAGGCGACGTCGGAGGCACGGAAGCTGTCGAAGCACAGCGTGTTCTACCGGGCTTGCCTCGTCGACGCCAACGCCGTGCCGTGGTTGCTGTGCCTCCTCTCCTCCACCGACGCCGCCGTGCAGGACAATGCCGTGGCGTCGCTGCTCAACCTCTCGAAGCACCCCGCCGGCAGGACGGCCATCGTGGAGGTCGGCGGCGTCGGCCTCGTCGTCGACGTGATCAACGTCGGCGCCAAGGCCGAGGCGCAGCACAACGCGGCGGCCGTCCTCTTCTACCTCTCGTCGAACAGCCCGGACTCCGCCGAGGAGATCGGCCGCATCCCGGAGGCGATCCCGACGCTGGTCCAGCTCATCCGGGACGGCGCGTACCGCGGGCGGAAGAACGCCATGGTCAGCCTGTACGGGCTGCTCCAGAGCGCCGCCAACCACGGCAGGGCCATCGCCGCGGGCGCCGTGTCAGCGCTCGCCGCGCTGCTGCTCTCCGCCGACCGCGACGACCTCGCCGGGGACAGCGTCGCGCTGCTGGCGAGGATCGCCGAGCAGCCGTCTGGCGCCGCGGCCGTCCTCTCGCAGCCGGGGCTCGTCGCCCGCCTCGCCGAGGCGCTCGCCGCGTCGTCGGCGTCGTCGTCCCGGTCGGCGAGAGACCACAGCGTGTCGCTCCTCGCCTCGCTGTGCCGGCACGGCGGCGCCAAGGTGGTCGCCGTGCTGGGGCGGATGCCGGGGCTGATGGCGTCGCTCTACTCGCTCGTCGCCGACGGCGGCAGCCCGCAGACGAGCAAGAAGGCGCGGGCGCTGCTCAACGAGATCCACCGGCATTACGAGGTGGCGCCGCCGCCGCCGGCGTCGTCGGCGTCGTCGGACGCCGGCGGTGACCGTGTCGTTCGCGTGCTATAGCAGCGATCGACAAACCACACAAACAAACACACGTAATTAAGTAGAGCATAATACAGTAGATCGTACATAGGACATTGGTTTTTGTCACGATCTCGGCTCGCGTTTTAGAAGAGTCTTGATCGAATTTTGCGTCGCACATACTCTGTTCCTCTTTGCCGTTTTTTCGTCTTGTTTTGTACACAGTTACACAAAATATATTCATACACACGTAGTACAGTAGTAGTAAATTAAAGTACGGGGGAAATTGCGGTGAACTTGTACTGATGGATGGATAGTTAGTTAGCTGTAGACTGTAGTACATAACTAGTGTGTACATGAGTTTGTTTTTGGGTTTGATTGCTGTTTGTGACGCTGTTTGTGATGTAAATAGTCGGTGGTTGTTGTTTTGTTCACTGTGGTGAATTCAATGTGATGGTCTGATGGATTGAGAGATTCGGTAATGTATATGGATCAAAGACTCATGTTACATACAAGCATATACAGCGGAAGTTTCGATGGATATTTCGTTGATGCGATGGGAGTTGCAATGTGCCCCAGGACTGTTTCACACACATGAGAAAACGCTGGATCTCATCGTCGTGAACATGTGATTGGAACAGGTCATGTATGCTTCCACACTGAAGAAGAAAGCAGCTTGCCAACAGTTTTTTTACTACTGTTGACTGATGGCCTGTCGTGTGTAAATGACTGTCTTGGCAGTAAAACTTTTACTATAAGAACATTTCACCAGCAAAATGACAAGGCCCGTCTAGCTCAGTCGGTAGAGCGCAAGGCTCTTAACCTTGTGGTCGTGGGTTCGAGCCCCACGGTGGGCGCAGTTTATTTTTTTTCAACTCCTCTAATCACGGTAACTATGTTTTTTACTCATCATCACGGTTAATTAATGAATGATTCTTACGGATGGTGAAATTCACACAAGATTTTTTTTCCCTCTTTGCAACAGAAGAAGAAGCTCCTCAAATCTCAATGGAATCAAGCCCACGTACCCACACAGCCGAAATTGCTAATGTGCTAACGTGTGACGTGTCAGCGTAACAGCGGCAAACTGCAATTACTATTATTATTTTCTTTTTTGAAAGATCAGCAGCACACTATAGCTTGGTTTGATGTCGGCAACAGATTATCCTAACCTAGATCTGATCAAAGCAGCCTCCCTCTGTCGCTTACTAGCTACTGCCCTAACCCACCTGGCCATTGCGTGCAAGGAACACTCGCAGAACAAACGAACAATTCGCCAATTGATTACACTAATCACCACACACTAATTAATTAACTTTTTTCACAAGCGAGCTAGCTTAACTGGCTAGAATTTTTTTTAGCTGAACCAACCCACTAAAATTGGATCTCTAGATTAGACACGGTGTAATCGTATTTACGGCTAATTATTTTTAAGCGATATACATATGAGGTATTCGTTGATAGCGAGACCGAGACACACGTGTACTGGTGACTTTATTAATATTAAGATATATCGGTTCAGGTGACTGTGTGTGCGTTACGAGCGTCTACGTTTATAGTTTTCTCTTAAAAATAAAATTAACTTTTGTTTTTTGTCGATCGAGTATGCAAGCTTCGTGTAGTGGAGCTATAAATTAATCAGCCGCCACACACCTGCGACTGCGTGCGGATCATTCAGGCCGACGTACGTGTCCGGGATCAATCGATCGATCGACGGCTCATCGCCTGTACCGAGGTTAGTGTCGTTAACTGACCCGACACGAGTTAATTAATGTGTGATTAGTACTGCTAATCAGGGTTGTTAATTAAGTAGAGCTCGATCTCGATCGCGTTGGTGGTGACAGATGAGTCTCTGGCTTTTTGGGCGTCTCGTGATCGGTCACGGGACGGGAGAGGAATGGAGTTGGACGGTGACTGAGCAATGGGTGCCATCTATCTCGTGAATAAAATAAGAAATTGGGGTACGTAGTGTGCGTTCGTTGATTGATCCGAGGAGATTGTTTGCGTTTAAGTGTGTGATTAACTGATTAACCTCGCTAACCCCATGGATGCTCGTTGTCCTCAGGCTTGAGCGATGACGAGAAATAATAACAAAATAAGGAACAAGACCAATACCGGTGGACCGGTCAGTGGACACATATATCGTCGCTAGATCATGGATGCTGTTGCGAGCAGGCGCCTTACCGTTGGTATTTAGTACAGAGCATGGGGGCGAGAACACTGTTGGCGATCAGTCGGGCGCGTCTCTCGCTGTGTGATTGGACACGTGTCACGTGCAAAGAGAGGACGGAGGGAGAGCGAGTTTTCTGTTTTTTTGTTTTTTACCTTTTTTATCGTTTCTGTTTGGTTGGTTTTCTCTTTTTTTCTTTCTTTCTTCCGGTTTCTCTTCTGTTTTTTCCTGGTTTTTTTTAAGGTGTATGAATACAAAGTTTGTATTCGTATATATACCAAGTTTGTATTTGTATGTATACAAAGTTTGTATACGCGTATGCAAAGTTTGTATACGCGTATGTAAAGTTTGTATACATCGTGTATTTTCTAGTTTTTATTTTATTTTTTAATATGCATGTATATAAAGTTTGTATTCATCGTATACAAAGTTTGTATATGTCCAATATAAACTTTTCTATACATCATATATAAACTTTGTATATGTTTATATATTTTTTATGCATTAAAAATATATTTATATATACGTATATATATACTATATACACACGTATGTGTTTATAGCATATACATACGTATATACATATAATGTATAGATTAGATACAGGGAGACTAGAGGAGGGGGCGACTGACCGTGTGCGCCCCCCCGCCCCCCCTCCCCTCACCCCGCGGCTAATCGCGTATCAGCCGTCCCCGAGCATGGGGTTATCCCTTTTGTAACGATTTTTGCAAGTCAAAAACACAAAACAGAAACAAAGGGTTGGACTATATATAGCCAAAAAGCCCGAGGCCCAACGACCTGGCCCACGACACAGGGTTTTGGCCCGCTTAAGCATGACACGGTCCGATTGGTGTTGAGCCCGTGTCAGCCCAACCTGTCAGGTTGGGTCGTGTTTGGGCCTCTACCTCAGCACGGTGGGCTGGCCCGGCACGACACGGTTCGACGATTAGGGATGCAAAATAGACTAATCTCGGTCATATGACGCATGCCCCAAGAGGTGAGGGATTCCAAATAGACTTATACTCTCCATATAAGATACGGCCCAAAGTTATAAGGGACGACCCAAGGGGCTTTTGTGTCTTCGGGTCGTGCCTGGGCTATTGGTGTAGCCCGTGGGCGGGCATGGCCTGGCTTGTCCTAGCGTGTAGGTCGGGTTGTACCGGCCCGACTAATCTTGGGCCTAGGCCTAGTCGCGCCCGGGCTAGGTGGTCTATTTGGCCATGTATAGGTTGAACGAGCTCAGTACGGATAAAAAAATTGAAGGGCTGAACATGATCAGTGTCTACGTGTACTCTAATATTTATTTATATTTAGATAGCGAAAATGGTTTACATCTCTAGCTAGCTTCTGCCCTAAGGCAAATCTGTTCAACAAATAAAAAAATAGGTGATAGGTAATGGGATAAACCTCCAACTTCACCTTATTATTAACTAGCGGTAAACCATATGGATTTAGCCAACAATTCTAATAAAACTACGCCACCCATAGTGAAATAAGAGACCATTCACTACCAATTCCAAGCTACGTTACCCTGATACGGGGATACGGATACGGATACGTGATACGAGGATACGGCATTTTCATAAAAACCCTGATACGGGGATACGTCTATAGATATTTAAAAAGAATAAAAAATATAGAGGGAAAACATAATGCCAGATTACATGACATCAACTAGAGATAATTAGAATATAACCTGTTCAGGACATCAAGTTCAACTCAATAGCTAAGATAAGTTTAATTGTTGTCTGCATTCATTCACAGCGATGTGGCTGAAAGTCCTACGTCATAAGACAGGTCCAATACACCAAAATCTAATAACAGTGTCTCAGCAGATTAAGCTCACCATGTAACTCCCATGAATAATCACTAGTGGCCCTGATGAGCGTGCATCCGAAGCAGTTAAGCTTCCAATTCCAAAATTTGATTCTAAAAAATGATAATGCACTAGCACTAAGAAAATGTGAAGAGAAAACATATAACAGAACTCATCGCAGATTGAGACTTCGAAGGAGGAAAGAACCAAACGGCAAATGCAGCGAGCCAGCGGCTGTCGACTGGCGGAGGCCCTGCGCGGCTGCCGAGGGCGGTGACGCGGTATTTGGCAGCCGGTGGAGGCCTTGCGCCTCGGGCGGCGGCAGAACCAGGCGGCCAGCGGGTGGAGGCCCTACGCCTGGGGCAACAAGGGACGATGCCGGGAAGTCGTGAACTGCGTTGGGCGTCGGCGACGAGAGCGATAGTAGGCGGAGACGGCGCTGTGGGTGGATTGGATCGGCGGCTCGGTGCTTCCATATGATGCGAAGAAGAGTGGGTTAGGCCATTCGAGCGAATCGGGACGGGAGCGTATCAGCACGTATCCGAATTATTTTCTTTTTCCTAAAATCGCGGTAATTAGGGATACGTACGGATACGTATCGGAGCCGTATCCGATACGGATACGTGGTCATTGAGCCCCGAAAGAGCTAATTCGCGGATAGTCGCGCGCGCGCCACGCGACTGGACACGTGGCGCACGGAGAGAAGGGCGGCGGACGTCGCGTGCTTCCTTTTATTTTCTTTCTGTTTTTTTCGCTCCGTTTCTCAATTCCTTTTTTCTCTCCGTTTTCCTTTTTTATTTGTTTTTCTTTCTTTTATTTTTACATTACAAAGTTTACATGCGTATACAAAGTTTGTATACATGATATAAACTTTGTGTATGTGTTTATAAAGTTTGTATATAGGTATTACAAACTTTGTATACACGTATACAAACTTTATATACGTGTATTTTTTATGCGTATGTATATAAATTTTGTATATATACAAATACAAAGTTGATATTTTCTCTGGTTTTCTTTCCTGGTTTTTTAATACGTCACAAAGTTTCTATACATGAATGGTTTTATAGGTACGTATACATTTATATACATACTTATATACACTTTGTATATGTGTATACAAAGTTTGTATACGTCGTATATAAATACAAACTTTGTATATGATGTATATGAAGTTTGTATACGTGTATATATTTTTTATACATAAAAATGATTTGGTATGTATATATTCAAAGTATATATATGTATAAACATAGTACAGTAGTATAAGGGTAGTACAGTATACTAGTATTGTACTATAGTACATAGGGGAAGGCTATAACTGACCGCGCGGCCGCAGGCGCGCGCGATCAGTCGCCGATCAGCAGTCCCTATTGAGCCGTATCTGGGTAACATAGATTCCAAGAGTATGATACCATCGCGCATAGTATCTTTCTTTTTTTTATAGCATCTTAGACCAAAAGTATTTATTTATCTAGAAACATAATACAAACTCAGACGCTCACAACGTGCGCACACTTATCATCATGAAGGCACACAAGCACACGTTACCAAATGCAGAAATTGGTAGCCACTACTACCGCAGAGAAGGTCCAGCCACGGCTACAACTCGCCCGGTCGCCCTGTCCCGGGGGCGACGCGGGCGGCGAACAAGCCGCGCCGTCCCCGCCTTTCTCCTCCCCTCCCCAGCCTCGCCGCCGCCCGAGCCGCCGCCGGCAAAGCCGGGCGGCTGCAAGGACGGCGGCGGCGGGGCTCTCTCTCCCTCGCTCGCGGCCAAGACGGTCAGGACGTTGGCACGGCACGAGCTCAGGGCATGGCGTCGGCGCCGACCGGATCCGGTGCCGTGGCGTCTAGATCCGGTGCCGTGGTGGCCGGATCCGGTCCCCCAGCGACGGGCGGCGGCGTCCTAACATCTCGGCGGCGAGGTTTGGCGGTGGTTTTGGGCGGCGGCGACCTGGAGCGACTGGTCGGCGGCAACCTGGCGGGAGACGCTGCTGGAGCTGCCTCCGGTACCGAGCACGGAGGCGCGGCCGGACGACGGATGCGGCGGTGGAGGTGCCGCAAGAACTGGTGGTGACGCTGGTGATGCGGGAGGAGGCAACGACGCCTCTAGTCAGATCTGGCTGGCGGTGGTTGCGGCTACCGACGGTGGCAGTGACGGCGGCGGCGGCTGTGGCGGTATCGACTGCGGCGGCTGGCTGGCGAGACAGCGGCCGTGGTGGTCGAGGCGTCGTGAAGGCGGTCGCGCGGCCTCGTGGGTGGCGAGGCCTGCCGTGCAGGCGTCGTGGAGGCCAGCGACGTGTGGCTGTCGTGGAGGCCAGCGTTGTGCGGCAGCGGGAGGGCGTCATGGAGACCGGTGGCGGTGTGGAGTCGCGGCCGGCGACATGGAGCTCGCGGGCGGCGAGAGCGGGTGCTGGTGGCTGCAGGCCGCGACAGCGGATGGCTTGCGGCGATGGCCGTGGCGACCGTGGACGTGGCTGCGGCGGAGGAGGTGAGGATAGCGATGGCGAGGTGGCTGGGCGTTCGGCAGCAGCGGCTGCGGTGGCGGTGACCGCGGTCACCGGAGGCATGGCGGCTTCGGACGGCTAGCTGAGGGTGTGGCAGACGGTTGCATCTGGCCGGCGTGGCATCGTTTGGAGGAGAGGTCGGAGACTGGCTTGGCGCAGAGGCGCAGCCGATGGCAGCGGAGGCTGGCTCCGCGCGAGAGGCGCGGGCAGCGGAGATGGAGGCCGGCTTGGCGCGAGAGGCGTAGCCGATGGAGGGAGGCTGGATTGGAGCGAGAGGCATGTCCGGTGGAGGAGGCTGGCTTGGCGCGAGAGGCGCGGCTGGCGGTGGAGGAGGCGACCTCGGTGTGAGTTGCCGGTGGGTGTAGCGTGGTCTTCGACACACGAAGGCTGGCCGGCGGGGGACGCCGGTGCAGGGGTCCCACATGTCAACAGAGCTTGAGTGGTGGTTGAGCATCGGTGCGTCAGCCGTGAATTCGCAGGTTGCCGGGTGAAAGCCCAGTCTTGGTTCCTTGAGCCCCAACGGACGGCGGCAACGGTTTTCCGTCGCTTCTCTTCTTAAAGACGTCGTTTTGGCATCCCCTAGGGGGCGATCTTCGTCTGTGTTCCTTTGTTGGTCTAGCGGCTGTCGGTCACGCTTAGCGGCGGCCGATTCGGTGCTAGCCTTCTCCTGGATTGTGTGTTGGCGCTGTCGATGTGTGGGTGGTGGTATATTTTTTTCCTTTTTCCTGGTTACGACCCTCCAGAGTTGTAATCTTGTAATTTTTTTCTGCTCTATCAATAGAACTTCGCACCGTCTCGTGCGAGTCGTTAAAAAAAAAGAAGTAGCATTTAGATTTTAGAGATGGGAGGAGCATATTTCCTAGTAAATGGACCGGCCGATCCAGGCCCAGCACTGATCGTGCTTATTGAGGCCCATTAATTTCCTCTCTTCTTGCCAATTAGGCCCAGCATTGTATGTTCCAATTTGTCGGCTTCAATAAACATATACTCCCTCTGTTTTTATAATGTAAGATTTTCTAGTATTGTCCACATTTATATAGATGTTAATAAATTTAGACATAGATATATATTTAGATTCATTAACATCTATATGAATGTACACAATGCTAGAAAGACTTACATTATGAAACGGAGGAAGTAAAAGCAAATCGGAGTAGTATCCGAGTCGGATTACGTGAACGCGTGTACGTTTGTCCACGAAAATAAAAGCGTTCGTCGTCTCTCGGGTCGATCGACGATCCCGTACGTCTGCGCAAGAGTGCGAGCTCCGGGTGTGACTGCTCGATCTCCCATGGCCATGGAGACCAAGACGGAGATGATGATGATGGAGGTTGATCCGCGAGACGACGACACGGAAGAGGAGAAGGAGATCATGGCGCTGATGGCACTACACCAGATCCTCACATCTCTGACGGGATACCTGTGACGGGCAAACGAAATGGTCACTGATGACCGTCACCTCTGATGGGTCATACGGGATGCCGTCATCGGTGAGGCATCCGGCTGCGACCCGTCACAGGTAACTAGTCACCTGTGACGAGTTGAAAATAGAACCCATCACAGGTGAGGTTACCTCACCTCAAACGGGTTTAAGTCCTAACCCGTCACAGGTGACTAGTTACCTGTGATGGGTCGCAGCCGGACAGCCCGTCAAAGGTGAGGTTTACTCACCTCAAACGGCTTTAAATCCCGGCCCGTTTAAGATGACTTCTGCCACTGTATATATATGTTTCCTTTCCCAGCGGGGCCCACATGAGGAGATAAGGCCGGCCGGCTCCCTCTTCTCCACTTCTCCTCTATCTCTTCCACTTCTTCTCTATCTCTCCTCTCTTTCTATGTGCCGTGACGAGGGGAGGCGCGGTGGCGCCGGGCCGGCTGGGGCGGCGGCGGCCCGGCCGCCAGATCCGGCAGGGGCGGGAGGGGAGGCGCGGCGGCGGCCCAGCCGCCAGATCCGGCAGGGGCGGGAGGGGAGGCGCGTCGCCGAGCCGGCGGGGGCGGCGACGGTGGCCCGGCTGCCAGATCCGGCGGGGGCGGCGGCGGTGGCCCGGCCGCCAGATCCGGCAGGGGCGAGAGGAGGCGTGGTGGCGGACGACGGATCTGGAGCCGTGGCGCGGTGGCGGCCGACGGCGGGAGGGGAGGCGGCCGAGGCCCGACGGCGGTAGCGGTCTCCACCTCCAGCCGCGCCTCTGCCCCCGCCCGCGCTAGCCGGCCGCCACCTACACCTCCACCTCCGCCGGCGCCTCCCCCCGCCTCCCGGCCACCAACGCCACCGACGCCTCCCCTCCCGTCGTCGGCCACCCCCGCGCCACCGCGCCTCCCTCCCACCCCTGCCGGATGCGGGAGATCTCCGGCGGATCTTCTTCGTCCCTAAGGATCGGTGGTGGTCGCCGGTGGTCGCCTCGAGGTGGTGGGCGCCAGATCCAGTCTCCAGGTGGTTCGGGATCACCGGATCTGGAACCCCCGGGCTCCGACCGCTGCCTCCTTCACCGTCTGAGCTCCTTCGCTGGTCGCCTCCCCCCGTAACCTTCTTGACGCCAGATCCGCCGCCTCCATCCACGTACGAGCTCAGATCCATTGCCAGCAAGTCCTCTTTCACCCATGTATTTTGTCTTGTGCTGTTTATATTGTTCCAATTATTGCTACTGTGATTGATGATTCTGAGTCCTTTGGTGATTGAGATTCTTGTGATTTTGTTTTGTTATTGGGACAACTGCAATGGAACAAAGAAGAATTGTGACGATTTTTTTATTTGTGAATGCCAAATGCAATCGGACGAAATGAATGTGATGGTAACATAAGATGACGGTGTTTCTCTTCTTTTTTTCCCCCTTTTTTTCACACCAGTGACGGTCCCACCGTTTGAGGTGACTCTCACCTGTGACGGGTTTTGGTTGGGACCAGTCAGAGGTGACTCTCACCTGTGACGGGTTTTAGTTGGGGGCCGTTTGAGGTGGCTCTTACTTCTGACGGGTCTTCACCCGTCACAGGTGACTCAAGTCATCAGTGACCACTAATCTCTGACCGGGAGCTGAACCCGTCAAAGTTGAGGGTTTGAGCCCATCATTGCTGACCTGATCCAGTGTAGTGTGGGGATCGTGACAGCGGATGAGGAGGAGGCCGAGCTAGGCCGATGCGGCGACGGATGATGATGCGTGGTGGGAGAACATCGTGGCGGACATGCGGAGGGAGGCAGACGAGCCGGCTCTGCTGCTGCTGTCGTCGTCCTGCTGCACGCCGCGGTTGGAATCGGCCGGGATGGACGACGCCGAGACGATGACGAGGAGGGGGAGGAAGAGGACGCTGGACGAGGTGGTCGACGGCGACGGTGGCTTCGGGGGCGGCGCCGTCAAGCCCTCTTCCTCCCGTCGTGGACCGGCGGCTGCGTCGTCGTCGTCGTCGGAGACGGAGACGAGGGCGCTGATCCAGAGTTGTCGCCTGCTCCATGTCCGGGTCAGGGCAATGCTGGCGTGGGGCGCCCGGCGGAGGGAGAAGGTGCAGCTCGAGTGCGACAACCAGCTCGTCGCCGACAGGGCCGCGCGCGGCCGCCAACTCCGGTGAATCGTAGTAGATCGTTAGCTCATCCAAGAACCAAGTTTATTTCCTCGTTTGTCAGCAAGCATGCACATGCATCATGTCCAACTGCATAATGAATGATTCAGTTGTAAGAGATCAATTTCTTTAACTTATTGTCATTTACTCGATTAATTCCATATAACTAGGTAGTACATATTTCATATATGTATATATGTATATATGTCACTGTAACACTTATGTATGCTTAGACTTCATTTCTAGCTGACTGCTGTCCAAGTGTTTGTCCTTTATACCCCTTTACTAAAACTAGCATGGTGGCTCGTGCATATTGCGCGGCTAGCATCATTATATTTTTTCTTATATAATAGCATATATGTTTTCTTATTATATTATTCAAATATATTAAAATGACAACATAATTCTAAATTTTACAATAACTTTACAAAACTACTAATGTGTAATATTCATATTGTATTTTATATACGTGTTAGTTATTAATTATTTTTAATATCAAATTTTAGTTAATTTTCTGTAAATTGTATTTCTATATAGACTCTATGCTCTTCTTATAATATTATTTATTTTTATTTCTAAATTTTTATTATTTCTAATCGTATTTATATGTGGACTCCAAACTCATCTTTTAATATTATTTAATTTTTAATTTCGAATTTCAGTTAATTCTAAATTGTATTCCTATATTGACTTTAAACTCTTCTTCCATGTTTTTCTTAATTTTGAATTTTAGTTATTTGTAAATTGTATTTTTATACGGACTCTAAAATCTACTTTAAATTTTATTATGTTTACTCTAAATTTTAGTTAGTTTTAAATTTCTATATGGACTCTATACTCTACTTCTAATATTCCTTATTTTTTAATTCCGAATTTCTTTTTTTTTCTTAATTGTATTTCTATATGGTCTCTGTACTCTACTTCTAATATTTCTTATTTTTAATTCTGAATTTCAGTCATTTCCTAATTGTATTTATATATGGACTATATACTCTGCTTTTAATATTACTTATTTTAATTTTGAATTTCAGTCATTTCCTAATTGTATTTATATATGGACTCTATACTCTACTTCTAATATTTCTTATTTTAATTCCGAATTTCAGTTATTTCCTAATTATATTTCTATATGGACTCTATACTCTACTTCTAATATTCCTTATTTTTAATTCTGAATTTCAGTTATTTCCTAATTGTATTTCTATATGGACTCTAGTCTCATCTTCTAATATTCCTTATTTTTTAATTCCAAATTTCAGCTATTTCTAAATTGTATTTTTATATGGACTCTGCTTTTCTTTTTCTCCGATTAATGTGAGAATTTCTAGGCCACAAGAGCGGACGTGGAGGCTCCTTTTTCTATTCCTTTAATAATATAATCTATATGGACTCTATACTCTACTTCTAATATTCCTTATTTGTAATTCCGAAGTTCAGTTATTTCCTAATTGTATTTCTATATGGACTCTACCCTTCTCTTCTAATATTTCTTATTTTTTAATTCCAAATTTCAACTATTTCTAAATTGTATTTCTATATGGACTCTGCTTTTTCTTTTTCTCCGATTAATGTGAAAATTTATAGGCCATGAGAGCGAACGTGGAGGCTCTTTTTTCTATTCATTTAATAATATAATAGATAATTAAATATAGTTGCCATGCCATCTACTTCCATCATAAATTTTATAAACTACCCTTCAGAGTTCAGATTTATTAATATTGAAAAACAATCAAATCTAAATAGGCAGCTATGTGTAAAATTAAATTAAGATAAATATTCTCTATAAAAAAATATGTAATACATTTGATGGAAAATATATTTCTATTTATTTCAATTATATTAGAATATATTTTCTTTTATCCTAGCAAAGCTAGCAAAACTTCTCACAAGCCGGATCGCTTGCTCATCAAGCGAACCATGTTTTTCCTTGAAGAAATCGTATTTCCAGTGGCATTTTTTAGAATCGACCATAT